CTGTATTGCAAACCACGACACCCAAAAGGAGAGAGAGAGAGAGAGAGAGAGAGAGAGAGAGAGAGAGAGAGAGAAAGAGAGAGAGAGAGAAAGAGAGAGAGAGGGAGAGAGAGAGTATGGGGGAAATTGTCTGCCATGGAGGCAGGGGGAGGATTGGAAAGGGGGGTATACTGGGGACATTAGTGGTGGAGAATGTGCACTGGTGGAGGGATGGGTGTTTGATCATTGTATGATTGAAACTCAAACATGAAAACTTGTAACTGTATCTCATGGTGATTCAATTAAAAAATTAATAAATAAATAAAATAAAATACAACAAAAGCATGTCCTAAAACGTCAAGTATATAGGAATCAACAAAGGATGTGAAAGACTTATACATCAAAAACTATTTAAATAAATGGAAGAAACAGGAAATAAAAATATTTCTTGTTCACTGGTTAGACGAATCAATATGGTATTAATTCAAATTCAAATCCTATTCAAATTCTATTGATTCAAATCCCATTCAAAACTTATAGATTTATTGTAATCATCATCAAAATACCAATGACATTCTTTAAAGACTTAACAAAGCTGCTAAAATTTACACGGAATCATTAAACTCCCTGAATAGACAAAGCACTTATGATGAAAAGAAAAGAAAATGCATTCCCCCATTTCAAATAATAACTATAGAGTTATAGTAATCAAAACTATGTGGTACAGGAATAAAGACAGAATGAAGAAGCTCATGGACTAGTGGAACAGAATTGAGAGCCCAGAGATAAGTTCTCAGAAATGTGGAAAAGTAATTTATGACAAAGGATCTGGGGACATGAAGTGGAGCAAGGAAAACTTCTTCATTACATAGTGTTGGGGAAACTGGATAGCCACATGCAAAAAAAAATTGAAACTAGAACTGTTATGTCACACTATTCACAAAATTTCTTTCAAAGTTCATTAAAACCTCAATATTATACCAGGATTCATAGAGTACATTGAGGAAAACACCTAGACAGAACTCTTTAGGATATGGACCTAGAGGTGTCATTAATCATTTGACTACATTGATAAAGATTTAAAAAATAAACAAATAGAAGTCCATCGTGCTAAAAAAATTTTTGCATAGAAAACAAAACTGTTAACTTTTAAAAACACCTACTGAATGGGAGCTGGTATGTACACATGACACATCCGACCCAGGGCTATTAGCCAAAATATATATCACAAAGTTCAAGAGCAAAATAACCAATAACCCCATCCAAAAAATGTGGGAAAGTTGAAAAGATACCTCCTTGAAAAGAATATAAAGATGCCCAGTAGGCATATGAAAAGAAAAACCCCACAACATTAATCATCACCTGTTATCAGTTGTCGTAACTTGTAAATCAAAATGACGAGAGATTATCTAATATCAGTTAGAATGACATGCATCAAAGAGACTGGAAACCACCTGTGCTGGTGGAGATGTGGTGAAAAAGAAACCTTAATTTACTGTTGGTGGGACTGTTGTCTCGTTCAACCTCTATGGAAAACAATATGGGAACCTTCAAAAAGTAAGAATAGGACTTCCATATGACTCAGATGACTCAGTGATTCCACTTCTAGGCCTTTACTAAAGAGCACTGAAACAATAACTCAAAAAGATACATACACACCTATGTTCATTGCAGTGCTCAATACAATAGCTAGGATATGGAAACAGTCCAAATGTCAAACAACAGATGAATGAATGGAGAAGTTGTGGTGTGTTATACACAATGCATAACAGCTATAAGAAAAGATGAAAGCTTGTGGTTTGCTGCAATTTGGATGGAGCTGGAAGATGTTAGGTTAAGATAAATAAGTCGGAGGGAAAACAAATAACAGATTATCTCACTCATCTATGGTACATAGGACAACAAAACAAAGATGTAGGCAGCATCATATAATGTCAGACCACCGGTGTTGGATCACAGAACTGAGAATACCAAGCAATGGGGAGGGAGGAACTAGAAGTAATACAAGAACAGTGATTTAGGGTCTGGGCACTTTGGTGGTGGTGAAGTTGCAGTAAACTTGTACATCAAGAGCACAAGTGTTAATAAATACTACTGTAACCATGTAAATCAAATTACAGTTAAGAAAAATAAAAGAAGTAAAGATAGTCTTGCACAGGAAGCAACCTGGGAGTGCTATAAAAATTCCCCCCCAATAGGTAGGATCACAGGAGGTGAGATCAGGAGGACTTGGGGTGCAAACTCAGCCGCTCTGGAAGACAAATTCTGCAACATCTGACTCCCCAGTCAACGTGATGGAGCCATAAGAACCAGGGTCCCCCGTGCTCACAGTTCCCCTTCCCCACACAACCACTCTCACAACTACAGGAGAAGACCCTGTTGTCCCTATTACACAGGTAAGAAAACTGAGTCCAAAGAAGAGACAACACAATCCCATCCCGAATCCACTTGGGTTCTGCTCCCACCCTCTGCTCACAGGTGTTCCCAGAGATGCCCAGAATGAGCATGGTCCCCGGGAGGGATTTGAATGGGACAGGAATCTATAGACAGAAAACACTGCTCCCCACATCTGAAAGATTTCTCAGACCCAGGCATTTCCACAAAGTCACAAGGACATGAGGCCCAAGTGTACCCCAGGATGTCTTAATTCTTAGATGTCATTTCCTTCCTCCTCCCAGGCCTCCTCCACAGGTGAGGAAACTGAGCCACAGAGGTGTTCATGGTGGTCACAGCAGATTGAAGGCTTAATGTTCAGTCCCCAAATCCACTCACAATGCCACTAAAGCAGGGGCCTGAGACAGAGCGTGGGTGTGAGCACAGGACAGTAAGACTAGCCTGGTTTCCACTCTGGGCACTCTGCCAGTGGAGGCCTGACTGCTCTGTGCCTCATAGCTCAGGGATATCCTCCCTTCATGACTTTCAGTGCTGATCAAGCCTCCATCCCATCCCTGGCTTCAGTCTCTAGACAAGGCCGGGTAGAATGTGGGGACCTCTCAGAAAAGCCCCTAATTTCATTCCAGAACAAGCTGCATGGACAAGACTCCCCCTCATGCTTAGTGATCCCTGGAACCTAGAAGGGACACAGGCATTTTCCTTGTTAGGTTTCCCAGGTCACCTCCTTTTCAAAGAGGGTTTTCCAGAGGAACTTTCTGTCGAGCTGGAGTATCAAGGGAGCAGGGGAATTGCAGAGCAGAGAACTGGGTTTTTAATCCTAAATTACACAGATTGGAACAAGTAGGAATGGCAGTAGACGCACAGAGCCACAGGACCATCTGGTCTACCTGTTAAGTGTAACTCCTGCCAAAGCCACTTCCTGTTCTGAGGCCTGCCCCTCCCCCAGTCAGCTGACTACTGGGGAACCTTTCGCTGGGAAGACAGAGGCTCAAGGCTGAAGCCTGGGAACCCCTAAAAACCAGCATAGAAACCTCCGCTGACCCTGCAGGAGGTGAGGAGGCATGGTAGCCAGTCCTGGACTGCATAAGGCGGGTGCTGTCCTTCCACCAATCCCCCAGCCCACGCACAGAGAGGGAAGAACTTGGCTTCAAACCCAGAGGGAACGGTAGGAGGGGAAGCACAAGGAGGAGGAGGAGGCTGAAATGGTGCAGCTGGAAAAACTAGGAAGGGTGGCCTCCACCCCGGGATAACTAGGGTCATGGTGTGAGGAAAGCTTGCCCCCTCACCAAGGCTTAGGGGAGGGTGGCAGCTGGTTTTGGGCTCTGAGCAGACCCAAATTGTTGCAGCTTTCTGCACACCAGACCCATGTTGCCCAGAAAGGGAGGCTGAGTTACTTGGTCTAAACCCATGTTCAGGGGAACCCACAGGCCACTCAGCTGGCAGCATTCTTGGAACAGGAAAACAAAAATGCCCTCACCCAGATACCAGCAAGAGCCAGGAAGTCTGGGTGTATCAGAGGAGAAGGAGACCAGCCTTAAGGCTTAACATAACAGGGGCCAGAGACAGTACAGTGGGGAGGGCTCTTCCTTGCAAATGGCTGACCTGGGTTGATTCCTGGCTCTGTGTAGGGTCCTTTAAACACTGCTAGGAATAATCCCTGAGCGCAGAGCTGGGAGTAAGTCCTGAGCACTTCTGGGTGTGGCACTAAACCCAAAATAACCACAATAAAAAAGATTGAAAGACAATAGGCATGTGGGACTTTACTGGTTCCCACCCACTCCACCACTGCCAGTTGACACAATGCCCCTGTCCTGTCAGAACCCCATGCCAGTGCATTCCTGGGAAAATCCTAGCCAGGGCGTATGGCGTCGTCCTGACAGGGAGTCCAGTGGAAACAGAAACCGGCCAGGCAGGCCAGGAGCTGCCGACACTCAGGTTGCAGAGCCGGCCGGGCCACACTGGCCAGGCTCCTCAGAGGGCCCAGTGTGGGCACCGTGCCCACATCCCGCAGTGTCCTGATGCTCTTCCTGGCAGGGTCCCTCTACTCCCAACTTCATTTGGGTGAAGGCAAACTTTCTCCCTGTCTCTGGCCCCTGCCTGCTCCTGGCCCAGGCCCACCCATTCCAGCCAAATTGGTTACAGGAGACTGGACTGCATCTCTTTTCTCCTCCAGGAGGTCAAGGGCAGTGGGGGGCATGGGGTTCTAGCTCAGGCTGGCCAGCTGACTAGGGTGAGACTTCCTATGAGCATGATCATGAGCATCAGTTTCCCCAAATGTCCAGTGTCTCCTAGGCCCAACCCCCAGCCACAGCGCATCTTCCCAGGGAACCCAGGGTCTGGCCACACTTGCTGCCAGCCAGGCGTCCTGGCGAGCTCCCCTGAGGAGCAGAGCCATCCAAGTCGCATGAGTCAGACACCCCACCTTGGAGGCAAAGCAGACCGGGATGAGCCTGACAATGACTCCCTGTGGGTACGGGACAGGCTTGCGTGTGCCCACGGACAACATCCGGGCTGCGTGGGCAGGAGGCTCGGGGTCCGGCCAATGGACTTAGTCCCTGTTTGCTCCTCTGATAACTGGGGTGACCGTGGTTAATATTCACCAGCAGCCTCTCCTGCCCCCCTTCCAGACACGCTGCTTAAATACAGGACGTGGACGGGGCTCTGTCTCTGCAACCTCAGTGGTCAGCCCAGCCCAGGACAGAGAACCAGCCACCACCGTAAGTATGCTCTCCCTGGGGGCGCCCACAAACGCGGCTGTTTTCAGGCAGGCAGGGAAGTAGGGCCAAGGGCCCTGGGAAGATCAAATAGTCTGAGCCACCTGGCATCAGAAAAACAGCAGGCTGGGCTGCTTCACGGCCCCCCTCCTGGGGGCTGCCAACCCCCTCCAAACCTGGCATCATCTGGCGCTTCGTATGCGGGAGGGAGTGTGATGGTGGGGTGCTGTGAGTCCTGGGTCCCTTGGGAAGAAGCAGAATTCTTTTCTGTGGGCTCAGCTGCTGTCTGTCGGGGCTCAGAGCCTCCCGTTCCTGGAATGCTGGGGTGCCTGTCTGATCCTGCTTCCACCAGATGAGAACAGGAAGGCTCAAAGAGGTTCAGCTGAGTTCTTGGGGAGGCCCAGCATCCCAGCCACCAGCGGCTCACTAGATCTCCTTGCTCTGTGTACCCAGAGCTCTGCCAAGGCCTTACCCTAAGGGCCATGGGGAAGCTGTTAGGGGGTTTCAACCTGTTGTCAGGGGCGGGGGGGGGGTTCTCTGCTTGGTTCCCTCCACCCTGCCCCCAGGAGGCCTGCGTCTCTCAGACTTTCCCACCCTGCACTCCATTTAACCCTCTCAGAAGCTGGGGGACAGCGAGGTTCAAAACTCACCCCAATTCACCACCATCTAGGATTTAAACTCCGGGATGGTGGGGCTGGGAGGAACAGTGGGGCTGGGAGGTTGCCCCCTGAGGCTGGGCTACCCTGGATGTTTGCTCCACCTCTCTGTTCTTGGACAAAATGGGGAGAACCTTTGCCTCTTCCCCTCCTCTCCCCCCCACACCTGCCCCAGCCTGAATGGATTGGGGGAGCATAGTGGGATTTGCTTCTTCTGGTCTTGGGTTTTGGAGGTGAGCCCAGCCTGGGAAGACAGACTTCCCTTCAGAATGTAAAATAGGGAGCAGAGAAATAGCACAGGGAGTAGAGCACTAGCCTAGCAGTGGCTGACCCAGGTGTGAGCCCCAGCACCCCATGTGGTCTCCCCCTGAGACCTCTAGAGTGATTTCTGGAAAAAAAAGAAAACAAGCAAAGAAAACAAAACAAAAAAAGAGGAGAGTGGGGAAGGGTAGCAGTCACGTAGCTACAGTTGCTTCTTGAGAGTTGACTATGTCCCAGGTACTTAGAGGCATGTTGTGAATGCTGGATTTTCACAACAGCCCTAGGAAGAAATGCACCCTGATGAGAAAATGGAAGCTCAGAGAGGTTGAGTAACTTGCCCAAGGTCACACAGCTAAGAGTGCCTTGAACTTAGGTGTCCTACCTTGGAGCCTCAAATCTTAGCCATGAAGCCACCGGCCCCTATCCAGGAAGCCCAGCATCCCAGCTCTCTGAGGTGGTCTGTTTCAAAACATCTGACTTCAGCGACATACACCAAGACAAGGCCAAGGCTGGCCTCTGGAACCAACCTACCTAGAATCAACTGTCAGGTCTAGAAACAACTAGCTGTAAGGCTTTCAGCTGGTGACTTCACTGCTGCAGGCCTCAGTTTCTTCATCTGTACAATGGGGTTCATAAAATCTCCATCTGAGGCAAGCTTTGAAGTGTTGATTCTAGGAGCCAGCCTGACTGAGGTGCCCCAAGGGCCACCAGTGGTGATGACGATGACAGTGACATTCCGTCGTCCAAGGGTGAGGCAGTCAATAGGCAGGAAATGAAACTCTCAGTGTTGGTTTAGAACATTCCAGACTCAGTGGCAGTTCCCTATGACGGGCCTGTGTCTGGCGCTGGGCCATGAAGTGAGTGCTGGGGGAAGCTGCCGGCTCTCAGCCTGAGCACAGGCCCTCACTGGAGTCCGCGTCCTTTCCCACATGCTCCTCACCCCGCCTGACCTCAGTTCAGGGATAAGAAGCCACTTGTAAAGGCCACTTAAGTAGCAGGGCTGGGCCACACCTGGGCTGATTCAGAACCAGCTGGAGACCTGATGCTGCAGTTGCTTTTATGAACCCCCAGGCAACCCTTGGGAGTCACATGCGACATAATCCCCTGTAGAGAGGGGATGAGCCCCCCCCATCCCATCTCCCACCTCACAGGATGCACCCATCTGCCCTCTCATGCATCTGTGTCTGCTGCTTCCTCTCTCTTGTTTTAAAATCTGACCCAAAGACCTTTGGGTGCACCCCATACTTGCATTTTCTCTTCTCTAACTGGATTTCCCAGCATGGGACTTTGGGAATGAAGGTTGCAGTCTTGGACAGAAGGAAGAGGATACAGCAGAAATCTTGGGGCCCTGAGGTGGGAAGATGATTCAAATGATGCCCATAGGCAGTTGGCAAGCCACCAACTCTACCTGCTCTGTGACCTTGGCTGGACCCTCACCCTCTCTGAGCCCCAGAGCCTTTCCTGTAAGAGGTGGGGAGCCAGGGAAGGGGATGAAGCAAAGAGCAGATGAGAGGTGTAGGCACATGACCTGGCAGTGGCTCTCTCCACCTTATTCCCCGTCATCATCCTAGAGGCTGGGAGATGCTGAGGGCCAGGGCATCTCACCTCTGCCCTCACGAGGGCAATTCCCAGTCTGTGGGTTCACCAGACCCAGAAACCTCTCAACTGCAGAATCCAGCGTATGGACCAGTGAGATACAGCAAAGGGTAAGGCATGTATCTTGCATGTGGCATACCCCAGAGTGATTTCCTGCACAACCTGGTCTCCTAAGCATGGCCAAGTGCAACCCTAGAGGTTCCTGAACCCCACTGAGGCTAGGCCTGAGCCCCCTCCATCCCCCTCACTGAAACCAAGAATCTCTGGAAGGAGTCCTCAGGGCCTCCATAGCACCTCTTAGAGTCCCCCCCAAAAGAATCTAGTGTGAGAATTATTTCCCCCCTTGCTTGGCTGGCATGGTCTCAGACAGCAAGGTCAGGGCCAATGGAGCCGCCACCCATTAACGCTAAATCCTCAATCTCAAGTCTCTAGACCACTCTGCATATTTTGTCTCCCAATGCCACATTCCCAACTTTCCCCTCTCGGGTTTCACTGTCCAGACAGAAATTCTCCTTTGTCTTGTATTTTTATTCCAGGGAAGGTGTTAGTGGTGAGAATGATCACCTGCTAGGTGGGAGAAGGCACATTCCTCTGCTCCAGCCTCTGTGTCTCCACTGGTGAAGGCTGTGGATTAACTGAGGCTGGGTGTATCCAGGGTCTCAGGCAGGTACAGAGCAGGCTCCCTGAGCCATAGTGACAATGACTTTGGTGATCACTGGGGCACTTTCTCACTGAGCCACAGGCCTCAGCACTCACCATTACCTGCCCCCCTAAACCTGCAGGCTTGCAGCTACCCACCGACCTCCCTCAAAGGTCCCTCATATTTTTGCAACATCCTTGACTTCCAGATGAGAAAAAATAAGGAACTGTTCTATTGACACAGCCGGTGACAGCCATATTAGAATGCTGGTCACTCTGAAGAGGGTCAAAGATGCTCTTCCAACACCAGTCCCATCCACCCACTACCACACACCAACCGCCACTTTGCTGGAAAACCCAGCACTTCTGCAGCTTCCATCCATACTGGGCCCAGGGCTGGATAAGTCAATGAGCTGCCAATGGAGAACAGCTTCTCTCATGTATCTGGTTTGGTGCTGAGGTCATGTTGAGCACAACCTTTTCCGAGTTTCTGCTGTGTGTCACTGTGACTCCACACCTGTGTGGACAGCATCAAGCCCACCCCAGGAATCTAAAGCTCTCCATTCTCCATCCCCAGTCTTACTTACCAGGTTACCACCCTCCTTTCCTTTCCCCCTGATAACAACTAACGTGTATTACATTCTCCCTGTTGACTTTGTCTTTGCTCTGTCCTGCAGGAGAGTGTGATCATATGGTACTTGTACCTGTGTGCCTTTGACTTGTTTCCCTGAATGCAGTCCCCTCCAGAACCATCCCTCATCCGTGCTGCTGAAAATCTCTGGCTTCCACCTCCTAACTGAGCAGCCCTTGACTGGGTACACACCCCACATCCCTTGCTAAGCAGGGGGGCGAGGTGGGGGTGGGCACTGAGGTTGCTTCCAGATCTGGGCTACTGGAAATCATGCTGCAGTGAAAACTCATGGCACCTGGCTTTTGGAATTCACATTGTCATATTCTTCTGATAACTACCCAGCAGTGTGATAGTTCGATCATAAGGGAGGAAATTCTAATCTTGGGGCAGGGTTGGTTGCTTTACAGGGTTGGTTGCTTTACGTGACTGCAGGTTTCGTGCAGCTGAGTCCACAGTTGTGTGTGGTGGTTGCCGGTGGCGCTGGGAAACCCACCACCGAGAGTCTGAGCATTTGCGGGCACAGGCCCCTGGCTCTCTTAGCCTGCTGGTCACTGGGTAACAGAGTTCAATGGAGCTTGTCCATTGAACAGGCTGATCCAGATCCATCATCCCTGAGTCTAATCTACTGCTTCTCTGCTTTCTGCTTCCAGGGTGACTTCGCACATGTATTTTGTTTCCTGGATCAGTGTGTGTGTGTGTGTGTGTGTGTGTGTGTGTGTGTGTGTGTGTGTGTGTGTGTTTGCACATTCTACTTTTCTACTCCCTGGGTTTATGTGCGTGTGTACCTTCTACTTCCTAGGTCAGTGTGTGCATCTGTCTTCTCCTTCCTGGGTCAATGTATGTGTGCGCATACTACTTCCTGGGTCAGCGTATGCGAGTGAATTCTACTTCCTGGGTCAATATGCGCGTCTGTGCCTGCTGCAGGCGGCTTTAGTGCACATGCGCATTCCGCTTCCTGCGTCTGTTCCAGCTTTTGTGAACCCTTGTCCCTCAGGGCCATTGTGGATACTCGTGAAACCTCAATAGGATGGACTGTGGAGCCAGACTCTGGGGGTGATTCTGGGACTGCCCCATCACTTGCCCCATGACCCGGCCCAGTGGCTTACTCCCGTGGAACTTTGGCATCCTCATCCATCCCTGGGGACTGTGGTCCAGCCCATCTGCCTGGGAGGATGGTTGCAGGAGGGCAGGTGACAGGCCCTGCAGCTCTGAGGCCGCAGATGAGCACAGTGAGCACCTTTGCCCGCACAGCAGTGAATAACTCTGCTTGCTTGTCACTGGTGTCCAGCAGTGCCCAGGACACACGTGGCATAGCCTGACCGGAGCCTTCTCTCTCTTGCAGGAACAATGCCATCCTCCACTATGTGGGGTCTGCTCCTGTGGGCAGCCCTGAGCTCCCTGGCCCAGGGGCTCCAGGGAGAAGCAGTCCAGGAGACAGACCATGACCAGCTCGCCTGCCACAAGATCTCCTCGAGCCTGGCTGACTTCTCCTTCAGCCTGTACCGCCATCTGGCCCATGAGTCCAACACTTCCAACATCTTCTTCTCCCCCGTGAGCATTGCCTCGGCCTTCGCGCTGCTGTCCCTGGGCGCCAAGGGAGAGACGCACACGCAGATCCTGCGTGGTCTGGACTTCAACCTCACAGAGAGAACAGAGGAGGACATCCACCACGGTTTCCAGCATCTCCTGCACAGCCTCAACCAGCCGGACAGCCAGCTGCAGCTGACCACTGGCAACGGTCTGTTTATCCAGCAGGGGCTGAAACTGGCTGAGAAGTTCCTGGAAGATGCCAAGAAAATGTACCACTCAGAAGCCTTCTCCATCAATTTTGAGAATTCCGAAGAGGCCAAGAAGCAGATCAACGATTATGTGGAGAAGAACACCGAGGGGAAGATTGTGGATTTGGTCAAACACCTTGACAAAAGTGCAGTGTTTGCTCTGATCAATTTCATTTTCTTCAAAGGTAAGATGGTGTACCCAACCCCAGCTGCTTTCTCAAGGAAGCACCCAAAAGATCTCAAACACTCAATCTTTACATTCCCCTGGGCGGGGAAGATGGGACCTGGCACTACACATCACTCCTGCCTTCATGCACAGCCACTAAAACACACCCAAATGGTCGAATGGGATCAAGGAGAGAAGAGGTCACTGCAGGACTTATCAGAGCTTTTCACCCCCTCCCTTGAGCGAGGAAACAATTCCTGAGATGAAAGCAGGGAAACACAGTGTAGCCGGGTGCTGGAAGGAAGCAGGGCTTCTAGGGACATATGTCGGTCAGCTCAGTGTAGACAGTTTAGGAGGCTAAAAGCCCAGGTTTCAAACCCTACCACCTCTGTGCACCCATTGTCAGTAAAGACCTTCACTGCTTGGAGTTCCAGTTTCCCATCTGGATCGTGGCTATAGTCCTAAACAGTTCTCAGCAGCTTTGTATAATCTGAGAAAAGGAGTTCCAAAGAGCACAGGGATGTCAGGGCACATAGCCAGCGCTCAGTTCATGTGTGTGCCTCCCCGTCCCATCCCGGCTCACCTCTGCTGAGTCACAGATGTCAGGGACTGTGGGCCCTGGGGGCAGGCCTGGGCACTTGGCAGTGGCCTGGAAGAAAGGAGGGAGGGAGGAAGCCAAGGTGAGAGCTGGTGATTCAGGCTGGGGGCCTCTTCCACTTGGGGTGCAGAGCTCCTCATAGCCCCCCAGGCTGGAGTCAGGTCAATACAGCTTTGCCTCTGCTGTGCTGGGCATCCCATCTCAGACCTATGGGAAAATGGACTCCTCCAGGGGCTGGAGCCTTAGTTCAGTGGGGAGGGCATTTGCCTTGTATGCAGTCAACCTAGTTTCGATCCCCAACACCGCAGGTTGTCCTCCAAGCCCTGCCAGGAATGAGCCTTGAGTATAGAGACAAGAGTAAGCCCTGAGTATCTCTGAGTGCAGTAAAAATACCCAAAAATGAAGCAAAGTTCTCCCCAGGACCTGAGGCCCCTCCTATTCTGCCCTCAGGTTGATTTTTCTCGGGGAGCCCAGGGGAACACCCCAAGAAGATGCATTCTGCTGCGTCCCAGAAAGGGCAGCAGGTGCTGAGGTCAATTCCTGAAGGAAAAGCAGTGAGGAACAAGGACAGGGAGCCACGAGCTGTCGTGTCTGTGATGGCACCTGAGCTTCTCTCGGCCACCAGCCAATTCACAGGCATGAAACACGAGTTAGGGGCTCTCCCCTGAGCAGCCAGGTTGTCTCCCATCAGCCTCCATCAAAGGCATTCTAGAGGCGCCTGCAGACTGGCCTCTCCCTCTCCCCAAAGCGTCTGGCACCCACTGCTCCTTTGAGTCCCATTTTCCAGATGATGAGACTGAGGTTCGGAGGGGAACTGCCCACCTCATGGAGTCCCAGGCTGTTTCTCTAACCCTCATCCTGCCTGCTTGCCTCCTTTGCAGGCAAATGGGAGAAGCCGTTCGAGACTGAGATGACCAAAGAGGAGGACTTCCACGTGGACGCACAAACCACGGTCAAGGTGCACATGATGAACCGCCTGGGCATGTTCCACATCCAGCGCTGCCAGGAGCTGTCCAGCTGGGTGCTGCTCATGGACTACCAGGGCAACGCCACTGCCATCTTCCTCATGCCTGACCAGGGCGAGCTGCAGAACGTACAGGACAAGCTTAGTGTGCAGAAGCTCGCCAAGTTCCTGCAGCGGACTCATGCCAGGTGACGCCCTGCAGGCAGCAGGGGGAGGGCTGTGTGGGTGACCAGGAGTGTGGGGGCAGCCAGTGTGGGTTCAGGCATCCACAGGCAGCTGCAGGACAGGAAGTGTCCAGCTGGGAAGCATAGGCCTGAGCCTGTGGGTGGGTCCAGGCTTTGTGGCTACAGGATGGGCTACTAAGTTCTGAAGAGAACCTGGACCTCCCTTCAGGAGGACAGAGCTCGACTTTGTTATGCTAATGAACCACTTTGTCACAACTGCTAGACATGCAGATACGGAGAAGAGCTAGAAATTGAAGAAAGCTCAGAAAGAATTCGAACTCCAGGGGCTGGGGAGAGTGCAGTGGTTAGGGTCCCTGCCTCGCATGCAGCTGGCCCTGGTTTGATCCCCCAAGCTGTTCTCTTGAGTATCGTCAGGTGCAGTGTGGAGGACCCTCAAGCACAACCGGCATGACCTGGATTACCCCTGGCACCTCAGGGCGCTGGCAGTGCCACATTCTTAGACCCTGGCATTAAACCACAGGCCTTGTTGGCCGGGGACTCACCTAGAGGGATCTGGACCCCCAGAGAACTGCCCACTGAGTGGTCCCCACCCCAAACAGAAACAGGACTGAGTGACAATCAAAGGTGCAGAATAACCTAGAAGATTTGTATCATGAATAGAGAAGTGAGAGCTGGAGAGATAGTACAGCGGGTAGGGCGTTTGCCTTGCACGCGGCCAACCTGGGTCCGATTCCCAGCATCCCATAGGGTTCTCCAAGCACTGCCAGGAGTAATTTCTGAGTGCAGAGCCAGGAGTAACCCCTGAGCATCGCTGGGTGTGACCCAAAAAGCAAAAAAAAAAAAATTAGAGACACAAGAAGGGGTGTCAGGGCTAAAGCATCATTTCTACCTTTTGCCCACCCCCTCCCCCATGCCCATATCTCTGCCCTATGGGACACCAGGTGGAAAATGGGAGAAGGCAGCTGGGTGAGGGCCGACCAGATGGAGCCCGGGACAGTGAGTCCCAGACTAGGCTGGGACCATCACATTCCCAGGGAAGCAAGGGCTGGGCTGTCCCTCAGCCTCACTGAACACACCCCTCTCACCCTTGACATCACAACCCACATGGCCCTGGGAATCACCCTAGAGAAGTCAGGTCTGGGGTGACCAAGCCTGAGTGGTCAGTGCTTCCCTGAGGACACCCGGGTATCCCTGGAGGGCTTTCTGGACGAGGCAGCCTTTGGGAGGCTTTGTAGGAGCCCTGTAAATCTAAGCAATCTTGAAGTAGAATGACGGGGCCTGATTGTGTTCCTCATGTGGACAGAGATAGGCCCTCCAGGGAGCCGGCCTTGCACTGTTAACCCTCGGTTTTCTCACCACCCTCGCAGCTCCGTCAACTTAAAGCTGCCCAAACTGTCCATTTCTGGGACCTACGATTTGAAAACCACCCTGAGCAAAATGGGCATCACCAAGGTCTTTGACAACGATGCCGACCTCTCGGGCATCACCACAGACAAGCCCCTGAAGGTGTCCCAGGTGAGTTTGTCCCCGGAGCCTAGCTGTCAGCCTAGCAGAATGGATTGCCTGAGCGTGTGGTGGGCTTCAGAGATGGACTCAGCTTCTGGGTTCCCAGGGCCTCATGGTTAGGGCGTCCTGGACCTCGGTGGGGCCTGTTCACCAGAAGGGTCTTAGGCTCAGGGTCCCCAGGGATCCCTGACTCAGTGAAATTTCCAACAAGCCGCTGTGGCCCTGGGTAGCAACCATTCAGCTCTAAAGGTCCTTTACTTGAGAAGTTGCATGCAAATGGGGTGCAGTGTGCACTAGCGTGCAGGGATGGTCCCTTCCCATGCCCTGAGCCCTGCAGGACTCAGTCTCACCTCAGGTCTGGGCAAGGGCTCACAGCGCTGGAGCAGGTGCTTTATTTACAGGAGTCCCCGGTTTGATCCCTACTTCTGTGGGGTGCAGGCCCCCAAACAAATAGATGATACACATTTATGACCAATTTAATTCAATATGTCAAACACAGTAACAAGAAATCTCACATTGGAGATGTTACTGGGCCCGCTCAAGCAAATCGATGAACAATGGGAGGACAGTGCTACAGTGCTATGTTAGGATTTTTTTTTAAACTCTTCAGCAGGGCTGGAGTGATAGCACAGCGGTAGGGCATTTGCCTTGCTTGCAGCCAACCCGGCTGAGCCGGGTTCGATTCCTCCACCCCTCTTAGAGAGCCTGACAAGCTACCGAGAGTATCTCACCCGCATGGCAAAGCCTGGCAAGCTACCCATGATGTATTCAATATGCTAAACACAGTAACAACAAGTCTCAAAATGGAGACGTTACTGGGCCCGCTTGAGCAAATCGATGAATAACGGGAGGACAGTGCTACAGGATAGTGCTACTCTTGTTTGAAGGAGCAGTTAGATCCCCACTGCAATTATACTAATCAAATTTTTGGATGAATCTATATTTTTAGGCCAATCTATTCTTTTTTCTTCTTTAATTGAATCACCATCAATTACAAAGTTATTCACTACTGACTTTCAGGCCTGTGGTGACCCAACATCAATCCCTTCACTGTGTCCACTTCCCTCCACCAATGTCTCCATATTTCCCTCCATTGATATGATTAACACATTTGGGATTAACCTGATTTCATAATGATGCTCCAGGGAAACTACGAGCATGCGACCCTCTTCTGTCCCCGAGCTGGTGGGCTGTTTCCCAGGGGCAGGGGAATGTGTTTGCGGGCATGGTGGAGATGGCCAGTGGGTAGACCCTGAAGAAGTGCACAAGGACCTGCAGGGGCGGGGAGAGGACAGGCTGGTCCAGCATCCTGGCTGCAGCCCTCTCGTCTCACCCCGCCCCCTGCCGGACAGTTCAGCTCACCCCACCCATGCCCTCTCCCCACAGGCCGTGCACAAAGCAGTGCTCACTGTCGACGAGAAGGGCACAGAGGCGACCGGCGCCACCTTCATGGAAGCCATTCCCATGTCTCTGCCCCCAGATGTCTCTTTCAACCATCCCTTCATCCTGGTCATCTATGACAACATCACCAAGGCGCCCCTCTTCGTGGGGAGGGTGGTGGACCCCACGCAGGGGTGAGTGCCTGGGCCAGCCCCTCGCCTCCAGACCTGCCTCTGCCCCTGTGACATTAAAGAACAATTGGCCGACCTGGCCCAGACACAAATATGGACTGCAAATCCCCCCCCCCTTCCTCGTTTCCCAGAGTTGATGCATGAAGTCGGAGGGGTGTGTGTGTGTGTGTGTGTGTGTGTGTGTGTGTGTGTGTGTTGGGGAAAGGGCATGATCACACTCAGGGCTTCTCAGGGTTGCTCACTCTGGGCACCTCTCTGGGGGTCATGTAGGAGGCAATGGCCCTGAGAATGACCCACTGTCTACTGGTACTCCTTCTGACCCCCATCCCTACAGGGCTCGCATGTCCCTAGAGTCACCTGTGGGGGGGGGGGAGGGAAGGGAGGGCTGAGCAGCCAAGGGCCCTGCAACAGAAAGAGAAGATGTCCTACCCCTCTCCCACACCCCATCCAGCAACTGAGTCAGCTCTGCCACCCTGACAGCACCTTACAAAGATCCTGATCGCTTTGGGAGCCATGTCTGGCCCTTGGGTGCCCCCACCCCACCCAGAGCCAGCGACATGCCCTTCTGGGAAGAGGGCTCTTCTTCCCCTCTCACAGGGCTCCCCAAGACACATGTCCCTTCCCCTCCCCAGGCATGCCCTAAGAGGTCCTGCCCACTCCTATCTCCCTGCCCACTCCCTGCCCTTCCTGAGTGGCTCAGAGCAGTGCCCACTCCCTGCCCCTGGCAGGAGGGTCCTGGGAACAGCCCCTTTTCTACCAAAGCTGCAGGGCTCCTCTGCCCCACTCCCAGCAGAGACCAGACTGCCCCTCCCCCAGCAGGAAGGATTGGGTTTCCTGACCCCTGGCAGGCCTGTGCTTGTCCTATGTGCCTCTCGTCTCTCGTCTCTCTCTCTCTCTTTCTCTCTCTCTCTCTCTCTCTCTCTCTCTCTCTCTCTCTCTCTCTCTTTCTCTTTCTCCCTCTCCACCTGAGGACCAGGAGGGGCCATGAAACCCACACCTTCAGAATGTTCTAGGGTGGGGAGGTCCTTCCCTCTCACTGGCGCCCTCTGCAGTTGCCTCTGCAGAACCTCACCACTGCCACCTACTGACGCAAGCGCTGTCCAGCACCTGGGTGACCCTGAGCCGCAGCTCGCTCCCTTGGGTGTGGCTTTCCAAACCTGCTTCCTGACAGGTCCTCTAGACGGAGGGAGGTGGGGAAGTTTAGACCAGAGACAGAGCTGGGGGAAAGCAGGTGTTAAATGCAGTTCTGTGTATGATTTCTGTGTGGGGGGCTGGAGCGATAGCACAGCAGTGGAGCATTTGCCTGGCGTGCAGCCAGCCCGACCGAGCCGGGTTCGATTCCTCCGCCCCTCTTGGAGAGCCCAGCAAGATACCGAGAGTATCTCTCCCACAGGGCAAAGCCTGGCAAGCTACCCGTGACGTATTCGATATGCCAAACACAGTAACAACAAGTCTCAAAATGGAGACGTTATTGGGCCCACTCCAGGAAATCAATGAACAACGGGGGGACAGTGCTACAGTGCTACCGTGTGTGATTTCACTCTGCCCTGCTGGGGCGGGGAAGCAGAAGGCCGGCCACATAGTCCCCCTGACCCCACAGAGACCCTTTGATACTGCAATGGGATGATGGGCATCTCTGCACTCAGCCCATTCCACAGAGGAGGACACTGAAGCTCAGAGAGCAGCAGCCTGAGTCCAGACCTGGGATTGTCAGCGAGAGGCTGCAGGAGCCTGCCCTCAGAGGACCCCCTCACACCCACCAGAGGGCCCCCAGACCCAGGCCTGAGAGCTGAATTCCTTCCTGAAGCTTGAGGAAGGCCTGTCCCCTCCCTGGTGTCCCCGTGTGTCCAGGTGGCACAGATGTCCAGGTCAGCTTCTTAGCTGAGCACCCAGGGCCAAAGAAGAAGCCAGGCTGTGACCCAAACCCACAGGGGGATACAGTCATGACTGAGGGGAACAGAGGCCCAATATGTTCACTCAGCGCGCCTAAGCATCATCCCGGCTCAGACAGAAACCAGCAGGCCAAGCCAGAGACCTGTCCACAGAGGGCAGCGTCCACCCAGCTGGCAGGACAGGCTTGAGACACTCCCTCTTGCTTCATGGTCACTGTGGAAGGACACAGGTGGGGGTTGGTCAGTCCCAGGGCAGGATCCCCCTGGATGAACACTTTCCCCATGCAGCCTTGACTGCCCTATGACTGAGCTGCGTTGGGCTGGTTCTGTCTGGACGAGTAGCCTGTCCACAGGGCACTTTCTCTCTGCCCCCAACTAGTGACAGCGCTATGGGCAGTTCCAGGGCCGTGTCCCCTGTGGGCAGCAGGGACACACACACCCGGCTCCAGCCTCCGCTTGGGCCCCAGGAGCACTAGACCTCGCTTGCAGGGAAAAGACTCCAGACTCCGGGAGCAAATGAAAAAAAAAAAAAAGAGAGAGAGAGAAAACTTTGTTCCTGGACACGAACCCTGCCCCGGTGGAGATTCTGTGGGCATGGCGGGGTGGAGACAGGGGGCAAGAAACTCAGTGTTGAGTTTTTCCGTGTCACCCGTGGCCACGGGATCCACTAGTAGCCCGCTGGGCACCCGGATGCCCTGGACAGAGAAGGAGCCAGTAGCCCCTGGAAGAAGGCTGGTCAGCTGGCCTGGAGCAGGGAGGTGGAAGGGGCATGCTGGCTACCATGGAGCTGCCTACCCATGTGTCTGCTCACTCAGACCTTCTGGGTGCCCTTAGAGGCAGGGCCGGCAGACCAGGTGGCACCTCCAGAAGGCCTGTCCATAGCTCCGGACCATTAGAGCACGGTGGGGCTCCAGGTAAGGATGTGTTGGGGTCCAAGTAGGGAAAGGCCATCCCCAGGGTTACAACCAGCCCAGGTCATATGACCTTGCAGGGGCATTCATTCATCTCTCCATGTCTGGGATATAAGGTGTAAGGTGCATAATATCTGATTTCCACATGGACCCTGTGTAATGGCTTATCAGGGGACTGTCCCTTACCTTGTACATGGGAGCCTGGCGTCTCCTCATGGCCCCCCTGGCCCCTCTGGGACCAGGCTGTGAGGTACCTATCATGGGGCCCACCATCCCCCCAACCCCAAAACCAACACTATAACCTGCTTCTGGATTTCTTTTGTTATACTGCAGGGGGAGGGGCTTCAATGCAGCGCTTGAACCCTGGGCTTCGCGTGCTGGGCATGCGCAGTATTGGGTGAGTGGTCCCCCAGGCCCGTGGGTACTATCTGTAGCGGACTGGCCACAGGACTGGGAGGCTGCATCCCCTCATTGAAGCTCAAAATCCCACTCGGGGGTTCTTGCACATCCGTGGGCTTGTGAGTGGGATGTCGTTCCGCTGCTGATGTCGGGATACCAGCTGGGGGCAGAGACTAGAGTGCCACAACGAATTAGCAGAGTGACAGGGGAACCCCTTCATCTCCCTCTGGCACCTACACCCCTACAGTTCCCAGGGTTCCCGCCTTTGTCAAGGCAGCGGGGGGTGAGGCCCCGGGGAGGATCGTGTTGCTCTAAGCAACTAGAAACCCCCAATCCACCTTGATGATAAAGTGCCAGTTCCAGAAAACATGCTCCGCGAATCCCATGCCTAGAAGCAAGGCTTGAGAGGCTCCCTGGAGCAGTATCAAGGAGGAACCACGTTAAAAAGCGCCAGGGAAAAAAGAGGCTGCTAAGCCCGCACCAGGGACAGGAATGGCTTGGACCCTGGGGATCCACGAGGTAGTGGGTCAGAGTCCTGGAATCAATAGCAACCAAGTCCCACGGGGAAGACTGACCCCTGCTGGAGCAGGTGAGAAGAGCACATTTCTCCCTTCTCAAAGGTGCTGCGTTCCTTTGGAGATCGCAGAGATCCCTTACCTGCGAGGTGACGCCTGCTCACAAAAGGAGGGTCCCCTTGTCTTGTGCCCGATCTTAGAGGGAAGGCTTTTAGTTTTTCCCCAATTGAGGATGATACTTGCCGTGGGCTTGTGGTAGATGGCTTTGACTATATTGAGAAAAGTTCCTTCAATGACTGTTTTGCTAAGAGTTTTCATCACAAACGGGTGCTGGATCTTGTCAAATGCTTTCTCTGCGTCTATTGATATGATTATATGATTTGTATCTTTTTTTGTTGATATGATGGATTATGTTGACCGATTTCCAAATGTTAAACCATCCTTGCATCCCTGGGATGAATCCTACTTGGTCATGGGGTATGTTCTTTTTGATGGATTCTATTTGCTAATAGTTTGTTGAGGATCTTTGCGTCTGTGTTCATCAGGGATATCAGCCTGTAATTCTCTTTCTTTGTGATATCTCTGTCTGCTTTTGGTATCAGGGTGATATTTGCTTCATAGAAACTGTTCTGAGGTGTTTTTGATACTTCAGTTTCGTGGAAAAGCTTAAAGAGGATTGAGAGTAATTCCTCCTTAAAGATTTGGAAGAATTAACTAGTGAATCCATCTGGACCAGGACTTTTGTGCTTGAGGAGACTTTTTATTACCATTTTAATTTCCTTGATGGTGATAGGTCTGTTCAAGTGTTCCAGGTCTTCTTGGTTCAACCTTGGGAGGCTATAGGAATCTAGGAAATTATCCATTTCCTCGAGGTTTTCGTGTTCCGTGCCATAAAGCTTCTCAAAGTACTCCCTGAGGATCCTTTGAATTTCTGTAGTTTCTGTTGTAATGACCCTCTTTTCATTTCTGATTAAGTTTATTGGGTTTTTCTCTCTCCCTTTCTTTGTGAGTTTTGCTAGAGGCTTATTGATCTTGTTTATTTTCTCAAAGAACCAGCTCTTGGTTTCATTGATGTTTCGGATTGTTTTTTGGCTTTCCATCTTGTTAATCTCTGCTCTGAGTTTTATTATTTCCTTCCTCCTGTTCAGATTTGGCTCCTTTTGTTGGTCATCCTCCAAGCCTTTAAGACGTGAGGTTAGGTTACTTAAAGCTATCTACCACAAGCTCATGGCAAGTATCATTCTCAATGGGGAAAAACTAAAAGACTTCCCTCTAAGATTGGGCACAAGACAAAGTTGCCCACTTTAGCCATTCCTACTCAATATAGTACTGGAAGTCCTGGCCATTGCAGTTAGGCAAGAGAAAGTTATCAAGG